GACTAGATGTGGCAACAGTATTCAATGCATGGATGATTGGTAGATTTGTAAATGTGCAAGATAGATTCCGACGAGAAAAATATTCTTGCACAACACAGTGACACACATTTCCCTGCAGTAGATGCAGCTATTGATTTGATATAATCGCTCCATTTTATATGAGTGGAAAACGTAAGGCCAAGAAAGCGCGGTGTGTTGCACTCCTGGATTCTAGCGTCAGCCACGCTGATGGCAAGTAGGAAAGGTTCTGTTAAATAAAGCAGTTTTGTTTTGGCGGTGTTATAATTTACAAGCCATTTCTTGCCCCAGTTAACCACTGCTACCAGGTTTACTTTGTCAGATCTGATGGATTTGTTACTGAGACAGGAGTAAATAGTAGTGTCATCAGCATAAATCTCTAGTTGTAAACTGATGACATCGGAGAAATCATTCATGAATATCAGAAACAGCGTAGGACCCAGAATAGAGCCTTGGGGGACATCCGCGTTTGTATGAGATAGAGGCAATCATAAACCCCAGACATATAATATAAACCTATACTTCATATGTAATAAATACTGTATACTCCAGTAGTATCATGCCATATATATTTTCCAGTGTTGATGATAACCAGTAAGCAGCTTCCTACCGGTACTGTAAGTCTTTTGTTCATCTAGGAATATCGTACAGTATCTTCACAAACCCCAACCCTATCTACTGATAGTTACGTTTCATAGGTACACCTAATTTACCAGCTTTATTAATGCACTATTGAAGCAAACCAGCTACCTCAATAGGCCTAGCTTTAATTCGAAATGTACTTCCAATTCCCGTACCTACTATCCGCCATGTTTGTTTATGGCGATGGTGCCTCGTCGATGTCATCTGCATGTAGACAATCTAACTATCGTCATCAAAGCATAGTCGATAATGTATTCATACAGTAATAGCGGACTGTGGTAGTGGCGATGCAAAAGCTCTTGAACGCAGCCCTGAGACATGAGCTTGGAATTGAAACACCTTGTAGCGGAAAGTAGGAGTTGCTTCTAATATGAACAGGTACAGCATTGTGCTAAACTCTTGAAAATTTAATTAATAATAACCACAAATATTTAATAATAGGTTCAAAATGTAATAATTTGCTGTGACAGGAAGAAAAATGACACCTAAGAGTCATTGACTGACATTTGCTCGTACGGTAAGCTATTAAATTATATTTTCGCAACCTGGGGGGGATATCGCTCTCTGGCCGACGATTTCAACTGCTGGTTGAGCGATGAGCAGAAAATGATGCGTGACTGGAAATTTTGGTGGGTGATATAGCATTTTAGGTATTAAAAATGTATTTCAACATATGCTACCCGGTAAAAATATTCAAAGGCGATATGCAAAGAAGTCGTATTAAAATATATATAGACAGTGGAACCTCGGTTCACGAATTTAATTCGTTCCTGAAGGCTGTTCGTAACCCGAAATATTCGTAAACCGAAACTATTTTTCCAATAGGAATCAATGTAGAGAAAAAAAATGTCACAGTACAATAAAATTGTAAAAGAAAAGAACGGAATAAGACGAGAATATATACAACGCGGCATTCGACTCAGAAATGATTCCGTTCGGGTTAACTCGGTTCGAGAAACGAAATTTTGTTCGATAACCAAGGCTTGACTTTTCTGTTCGAAAACCGATTTGTTCGACATGTGAGACGTTTGAGAACAGATGTATATGAAAACAAACAAACAAACAAACAAAAACTAAATAACCAATAGACTAAATAGGAATAACTAGGTCACATTCGCAGATAAGATATAAATATCCTTGCAAACAAGGAATATTTTGGTATCTCCTATAGTTTTGAGAAGACTCATTAACATTCAAATAGTTCTTCAGACGAAATAACATTTTTTTCCGGATATAAATCATATAAAGGAAGGCCAAGAACAACTTTGCCAGTAAAATTAAGAACTGGACTCAGGGTAATCTTTATTTAATATCAAATCCTTTTTACTTCTTTTTATCACATTGGTCAACCCGGATTTATCTAGGCAGTAAAAGTGGACGTCAAAACATAATTTACCCATCATTGTACGCTTTTGAATATTTACTATACAGGTGAACAATGAAAAATTTTCCCATGTGAAAGTGGGCGATGAGGCAAAACGGATGGGAACCCCTGTATTAAATCCTCAGATATTAAAAAAAAAAAGAAGCTATTTATAGGTTGCGTTTTACCACTTGTAGCGTCTTATCATACGGGAAATACAGTAATTGTTTTTTTTTCTTCTTTTAAAAAAACAAATCTACTTTTCTATACTGAGTGAAAACTTCGGAAAAGGCTATTTTGTTTGCTAAGTGATTACGTTCACAAATGTATATGCAAATTAGATTTGCTCCTTCAGTAATGATTTCTTTGATTGACTAGCCTTTTGCTTATCAAGCAGGATTTCCCAACAACTGGTGGGCGATTTCCACTGATGTGTGGGCGATGAGCACCTGAACAGAAAATGGTGTGCGATTGAAATTTTTGGTGGGCGATATAGGATTCTGAATATTAAAATTCAACATATGCTACCCGAAAAATATTGATAGGAGATATGCAAAAAAAAAAAAAAAAAAAAACCTATATGAACCCAATAACAAAACAAAACAGGAGGTTAAATAGGAATAACTGGGTCACATTCCTAGATACGATATAAATATCCCCGCAAACAAGGAATATTTTCTATATAGTTTTCAATCATCAAGTTATCTTCTAAGTGTTCTGTAATACAGCAGCAGCCACCACATAAGTCGGTGTTATTTGTTTACTTCCCTTTGTTATTTTTTTTACTACATTGTAAAGTCAGTTTATGAACCAGTAACAAACTTTTACCAAACAATTTTGGTATGCTTTTGAAAAGGTAGGCGGTGGAAAAAATTTTCCGTGTGAAAGTGGACGATGACGCAAAAAAGGTTGGGAACTCCTTATATAAAGTGATACCTTCTTTTTTTTACTTTTTTTTTTTTTTTTTTGCAGCTATCTAAACTATAATTATAAACTATAATATCAAAAAGTAAAAATTAACACTTGGAAATTTTCCAAGGTTTCATTTGAAATATTAAAAAAAAAAAAAAGAACTTTAAGCAAAAACCGTCACAATATACTTGAAAAGAAAACTTAAAAAAAAAAAAAAAAAAAGGCCTGGTCTCTGGTAATAATTTGGAAAGCGTTTCATACCAAGAATTTTTTCTTTTAACACCGCCTGACTTAAGTTTTACTTCGCTAAAGTAGATTTTGTTCTCGCGAAATAATTTTTTTCTGATGATACCTGTTCATTGGCGAAACATGCCAAATTGGAAATTTTCCAAAATGTCTTATATATTTACCAATATCTTACTAATGGCAGGGTATTCGTTTCGTAGGGTGGCTAGCTAATCTTTGTTACAGACAACTGATAAGTCACATATGTGTTTTCTTCAAAATCCACAGAGCCAATCATTGGTTATAGTGCAGCACTCTTGAGTGACCGTTACAGTTTCTGCGAGAGAGAGCATATTATCTGTAGTGATGAACAGCTGAACAAGGTCAGTACACTAAAACTGTCGGTCACGATGACTTGTGTCTTCGTGCGAACACAACCACCGTACTAATCCCATGGGACAACAGCGTTGGTTTGTTGACATAGTAATTTTAAGTTCAATCCCTGAACTGGGTAGTATAAACTTAGACTTAGTGGAAACAGTAATCGAGCAGTACTAAATAAGAACAAGACGACACATCCCAAGACATGGACAAGGGAACGAGAAAAATCAATCCCCGTTTATTAAATAAAGGGTTTACTTCGAAATTCCCTGAAAGTTACAAAGGACCCCCTGATGAAGGCCGAAGGCCACAACAGCCGAAACGTTGTAATAATAACAACGAAACTGGGGATATTAGTCCAAATGCAAATAATGAATGCTCCTACTTCCAGAAATTTAAATATGAAGAATTTGCTTTTTAACCATTTCTCTATGGTATGTAGCTCAAATATTTAAACGTAGTATAGCCCAGTCATGGGCAAACTGCATACCTTTTGGTTTTTCTGAATGGCGCGCTTAATTTCTTGAGGAAAATGGCACGCTTAAGTTCATGAGGAAAATGGCACGCTTAAGTTCATGAAGAAAATGGCACGCTTAAGTTCATGAGGAAAATAACGTTTCTTAAATTTTCGTTTTGTTTCGTCTTCACTTGTTCACTCACACACTCTCTCATGCATAACCTCATACATAAACAATGATTTAATTACAATGTTTCATGAACTTTGTAAACTTTCAGTGAAAGTAAGATTTTCAACATTTTAAACCATTGGCGGTTTTCACTAAGGAAGATCATACGTTTTTTCTTTTGAAACAGGAAACGCTCATCATAATTTTTATCTCTAAAGAAAAAAATATGTTTTTATTTTTAAATAAATAAATTAGAAATAAATCCCACCCCAGCGACATGTGTTAATCACAATATTATCAGTGATAGCATGGATTTTTTTTTAATTATAGAAAAATCTTTTCGTCAAAGAAAAAAAAAATCAACGTTACGTTAAGGTATATTCTTACGCATGTGGTCTTCTGTAGGGAATATAGCTGCGGTACCCAGTACAAAGAATTAACTTATATCTTTTTTGGTAGTACGGCCCTCTTGTGATGAGCCATAGATTATGTGCCCAGTTTAGTCTATCTGTCGAATAACGAACTGGGGAGAAGCTTTCTGGTAAGCGCCTAACTCGTAAAGTACCGCGATGGACAACCCTGACATGCCAAACACGAGTTAGCAAGGCCGGCGTGTGAATGGGTTAATACTGTCGAACCGATAATCGAAACTGAGAAAAAAGTATTGGCGGCACTTCAAAGACAAATACAAAAGGAATATTGATCACGTAAAGAGTGGACTTGTACATTGAACCGCTCTTCTCATCTGTGCGAACGACTAGCCAATCAGCTGTCGACGTCTGTTCATTCTTTCAATAGATCAGAGGCGATCAAGGCTGGTGGCAAGGAGAGAGTCAGGGGTAGACTGATCGATCGAGGAAAGGCGAATTAGACAAAGGCAAAAACTGAAGGATACAACCGTCAGAGAGCGATGTAACGGGGGGAAAAGGGGGAGATAGAAAAATAAGGACTGAGAGGAGATAAAATAGAGAGACAGCCAGATACAGGGAGAGATAGAGGGAAGTGAGAGATGAAAAAAACCTTTGAGCATGGTAGAGAGGGAAAAGAAAAGGAAAATATAGGAAAGTGGTGGAAGAAAAGAGAAAAACAGAAAGAAAGGGGAGAAAAGGTAGTGAAGAGAGAGACAAAAGGAAAATCAGAGGGAAGAAGTAAAAATAGAGAGAGAGAGAGAAAAAGACAAATAAAAATGAGAAGTGGATAGAGTGAAAAAAATAAAAGAAAGACGAAATAGAAAAGAAAAAGCAAACGAATGAAGAATAAAGGAAAAAACGGAAAGGAGAAGAAAAAAGAAAACTATAGAAAGAAAAGGGGAATAAACAATGAATGTAAAAGAAAAAAACGAAGAGAGGAAAAGAAAAAAGAATAGAGGAGAAAAGAAAAAAAGAGAGAAGAAAGACAGAAAGAACGAGAAACAAGGAAATATAGAAAAAGCGAAAGAATAAATGATAAGAATGAGAGAAAGTACGAATAAAGAGTATAACAAGAGAAAAGGAAGAACAAGAGAAAGCCAAATCGAGAAAAATCAATAAGAAATGAGAGAGGGGGGTAAAGAGAGAGAGGGAGAGTAAAGAGAGAGAGGGGGGAGGAAGAGAGAGGGGAGTAGAGGGGGAGAGAAGGGGAGTAGAGAGGGGGGAGAGAAGGGGAGTAGAGAGAGGGGGAGTAAAGAGAACGAGGAGAAAAAAAAAGATATTTGTAAAGAAAAAGAAAACAAGCGAAATCCTCTATTTCACTTTCTCTCTCATAATTTTGCAGATGAATTACAAATATGGCCAGACCGAGACATCCTTGACGCCGACTAATGATATTATATACATCAGAACCGATTAACTCTAGCATCGGGAATCCAACTTGGTACTTCCCATCTTTGACGAGATCGAGTAAACGGACTTAATTATTTAATGTAAAATTGCATCGGGTGTGAGGCCGGTGTGACGGATACTGAACACGTAAAGTGAAATCAGAGAGCCACGTTCAAATTCCGGACTAGTTTATTCCGTTCACTTTCGCAGTGATAAACTTGGGAATGCGATTAAATATCAGCGCAGATTAGGATTTCTAGTATTAGAAGCAAAACTGGACTCAAAACTGTGGAGAAAGGAAACAGGAAACCACTTCACTATCTTTCCCAAGAATGCAGGACAATTCACAGGTAATAAAGAAAGGGAATCTATAGAGAATCGTAATTGCTTACGCCCTCTTGGGAAAAGGCATTAAATATCACGAAGGTAATTTTTTAACTAGTTTTTGTCCTTGATATGCAGTAATTACTTATGTGAGAACTTGTATATTTAGGAATGGATTTTTCATTTATTAATCCGACATGTTTTCATTTAATTTAAAAAAATAAATCAATAAATTTATTTATATATATATATATATATATATATATATATATATATATAATACCTAAAAGGTTAATGATCAGAGTTGGATCTGACCAGGAAACAGTGGCATTAAAAAGTGCTCAATACACTTGTGAAAAAAATTTAATAAAAGTTAAAATAACATGTAGATCTTTTAACTTTAAAGTATATATATATATATATATATATATAAAGCTATAGGATTGGTGTATATGGAATAAATTCCAATAATCAAAAATACTATTCTTAAAAAAGTACTCAATACAGAATAGAGCATATAATATTTATTCGAAAATTATAACATAAATATGTCATAAAATCACTACAAAAATTACCATTTTCTTTCAATACTTCTACAATTGTCTTATCAAATGATGATGTTGAATGTAGAATAAAGAGTTTTTCTTTATTCTACATTTAACATCATCATTTGATAAGGCACCAGAAGGGTTGGAACAAAATGGCTATTTTGTAGTGATTTTATAACATGTTTATGTTATAATTTTCGAATAAATTAAAATTATATCTATTATAAAACGCAGATTGTGTGTGTGTGTGTGTGTGTGTGTGTGTGTGTGTGTGTGTGTGTGTGTGTTTATATATTGGATTGGATTTCCTACATTTTTCAAACCGATTTCAACAAAACTTCACAGGACTACGTAAAATTACCTTGCGGTGGTTCTGACAGCGCCAAAATTGAAAAAACACAATTGTTTTTGCACAAAATCAATTTGATTAAGATGCATTAATGAAAGTGGGACAACTCATATCGAGTTATACTTATAAAACCCAGGTTTGTTGTTTGTGTGTGTATTCGTTTATATATGGGATCGGATTTCTTACATTTTTCAACTGATTTCAACAAAACTTTTTTTTTGGCAGGTAGTGTTTCTTATTGTCTTGCACACTTTTTCTTTATTTTTACATTCAGAATGCTTTAAAAATTCCATTTACAAGACAAATGTTTATAATAAAATTCTATTCAATCGGTAGACTCATAACGATTGAAAATAATGTTTTTGTTTGAGTTTGACCAATTCATAAAAAAAAAAAAAAAAACTAATTAAGACATGCGTGTCCGTCAACCTTAAACAATAACCTTTGTCAATTTTATTTTTCAGTCTTTATGATTGTCGATACTTGATCTATCTCTTACTGTTGCATCCCTGGCAACGCCGGCTCTACTGTATATATATATATATATATATATATATATATATATATATATATATATATATATAATATATATATATATATATATATATATATATATATATATATATATATATATATATATATATATATATATATAAAAAGATTGATTGAAAAGTAAAAGCCCATTTTAAAATACTTATAATTTATTTATTGACTATAATTTTAAAAAGAAATGGATATGAGAGGAAAGCGTTTAGCATGAGATCTTATTTAAAATTCAACATGGATACCAGATTCCACTACCAGCTTCTCAAAAAGACCAGGAATCGTGTCAACTGATTCCACCGAAAACTCTTGCGGTATGGATAACATAACTTCTTGGATTCGCCCCTTCGAGTTCTTCCAAAGTCTTGGTTTGGTATAATAGACTTGTTCCTTTAACCAATTCCAAAGAAAAAAGTCACAGGATGTTAAGTCAGTACTCCTGGCTGGCCACATATATAAAATAGGGAGTTTCTTTTCAGTCACCCTGTATAGTGTGCAGCAGAAATACCTTAAAGATTAACAAAAAGACCAAGGTATCTGCTATTGAAAATATTTCACTGTTGTTTAGAGCTACAGTTTTTATTCATTTTGTTGTAAAAAAGAACATCTTCCAATTGGTGACCTCTATTTGCCATGCACTGTTGTACACGATTTGATCACTCTTCGGATTACTTCGGAAATGTGCTGGTCAAACTCTCTGTCTCCGGGCAGTGAGGACCCCCAGACGAGGCTATATCAAAGGGCAGAGTCTCGTCTCGGGAGACAGCTAGCTGACCCCGTATTTTACGGGATCCACGGGAAATTTTTGGCCGAGTCTACGAGCTCGGATACCCCACAATAAACTCGGCCTTGTGCCACATCTGACTGCGTGGGACGGTTAGTGAATATCTCACTGTTGTAGACGATTTCTAAAGTCTTCCATCACCCAGACGGCTTTCTTTCAAACGCTGAACTTTTGGTCCTGGAACCTTCAACCCACAACAGCTTCGATTCCATTTTTTTTGGAACATAAAATGAGCGTGAAAAGCTCCTTGTGTTGCAATTTCAGATTCATTAGTCGTAAAAAAAAAAAACAACTTTTCAACAGCAAATGCACGGGTTGCACCCGTTCAAGCCATGATGCTAACTGATGGTATCTGAAAAAACGATAAGACATTAGCTAGATGAAAACTCCATTGCCACTTGTCTAAGTGCTGTAGGGAACGAACCAATAACCCCCAGTATACAAAGAACTAATGTACCTCTATTAAATGGACTGTTCCAGTAGGAATATAATCATTTATATTGTTGGTTTTAGGGGGATTTGCTTTCCAGCTTCAGACGAACTTGTAAATATCTACTTGTATTGTTCTTGTTGAAAATAAACCCATATACTTTGTAAGTTTCCATTGTAATTATTATTTTAATAACCATCCCAGACGATATTACAAAACTAAGTTTACTGGTACCACAAAAGGGACAGTTTATAATGTGGGAAATATTTCTGCCGTACCCTGTATATTGAAAAATAAAATATTTCATAATTAAAAATATAAAATCTTTAAGTGTACAAATGGTTACTTAATCCCACACTCTAGATCACACAGCGTCATGGTATCTTTAAGGCAAGATGAACCATTTGGCTGTGCCTCTCTTCTTTCCAATCTAGTATTGGGTTATATAAAACTAGGAGAATCATTTATATAACCTCACCGTCAGTGAGCAAGTGATGAGGCAATTGTTAAGATTGAAAGAAGAGAGCATAGGGAGATGTGGATTTATGCCTTTATTAAAAGCATAACTTTATAACTGAACAGGCTCAGACTCATCTGAAATGTAATCTCAATTTATAGTCCTCTTGAGCCATACCAGAGGAGGCACGGTGGAGTAATGGATAGCGGCTCGGAGAGCAAAGTTCGAATTCCAGTCGAATCCATTACATTCACTAACGTGTTAATACTCTTGGGAAAGGTATCAATCCTCTTCTTCCTCCAGCTATGGGTAAATAGCAGGACAGACCGGGTTTTATAGCCTTGGATGGCAACTGGTCTACCGCAGAAAGAAATGGCAACCCTCTGTGGGGAAAAAAAAAGACTGCCTAGTAAGACATGTATCGAAAGATACATGGCTTACATGGCACATAACTGACTGACTGACTGACTGACATATACCGTTGGCCGTCAGGTCAACTCATATCTACAACTACAAATAGAACAATAAAGAGACGGAGACGAAGCAGAAAACCAAGCAGAAGCCGCTCGAGAAGCGACAACAGATACACATACAGATTTTTCTATGCCACCTGGGGAATTCATTATATAGAAATGGGCGAATCACACATCTCTGTGTAGTGGACTCTTCTGGTGACGAAGAAGGCAGTGGAGTGTAGCGGACTCTTCTGGTGACGAAGAAGGCAGTGGAGAATAAAATGCTATTTTAAATTTAGGAAGTATTGAACTTAAACATGGAATTGTAAAATAAAATAAACTTTCGGATATTCTATGATACAATTCGATAAATGAAATTATTGTCATTTTTTTCTTTGACGGCACAAATAAATAATAATAGAAGAAAAAGAAGATGCAGAACGAGAAGGAAGCTAGCCAAGAAGGCAAAGAAGGACAACAATAAATAATGATAATAATAGAATTAAAAAAAGACATGTAAAGGGAGAAAACGAAGGTAGCCAAGAAGAAGAGGGCGAAGGAGAACAACAACAACAGCAACAACAGCAACAACAACAAGAAAGAGGTAACCAAGAACGACAATAATAATAATAATTAGAAGAAGAAGAAGAAGCCTTAATAAGAAGAAAAGGGTAGCCAAGGGAAATAATAATAATATAAGAAAAAGGAGATGTAGAAGAGGTAGCCAAGAAGACGGCGAAAGAGGACGATAATAATAATAATAATAATAATAATAATAATAGTGAGGAGAAAAAGATTTAGAAGAAGACGAAGGTAGCCAAGAAGACGGCGAAGAAAGAAAATAATAATCATAATAATAATAATGGTGAGAAGAAAAAAGGAGATGTAGAAGGAGAAGACGAAGGTAGCCAAGAAGACGGCGAAGAAGGAAAATAATAATAATAATAATCATAATAATAATAATAATAATGGTGAGAAGAAAAAGGAGATGTAGAAGAAAACGAAAGTAGCCAAGAAGACGGCGAAGAAAGACGTTAATAATAATAAGAAGAAGAAGGAGAAAAAGATGTAGAAATAGAATAGAAAGATAGCCAAGAAGATAGCAAATAATAATAAACAAAATGATTGACGTAACTTTTCCAATATTTTTCAAGTTTTACATAATCCTTTTTCTTAAAACGCGCTCTTCTCTAAGTAATAATAATAACAAGAACAACAATATTAATGACGAAAAGAAAAAGAATATGTAAAAAACGAAGCTAGTCAAATGGTGAAGAAAGACATCGGCAATAATAATAATAATAATAATAATAATAATAATAATAATAACGAAAATAATCATCAGCCTCTAATCCCTTGTTCCTCACTGACAAACATCAAACACGTGGTGTGAACAATAACGCAACTTATTAGTTACATGTTAATATGAAATGTTGAGGATACTTACTGTCAATGTAAAAGTTGCAAAAACTTAACAATTTGGAACAAAATAAATAACAGAAAATACATTACAAGTAATATTATGAATTTAATGATAATATAATCCCTCAAATATTGATAGCCAAAATATGATGTAAATAATAAATGTAATATTAAATTAAGAAAAACAGTAACCTATTTTTGTTAATAATTTCTATTTTTACAAGTATTTTTTACAGACTTTGAAAATTAGTGATTTTTAGTTTTTTGTTTTGTTCATGAACACGACAAGGATGGAAAATACCAATCTTTAGAACTTTTTTTAGACAGAAAATTGTTATTGATTTGATTTGTTTTAAAGTCACCCCAAAGCACCCGTTTATTCGTTTACTGTCTGTCATTCAAGCGCGATTAGTTGACTGTGATCATTTTTCAAGAAATTTTAATTTAGTTGCATAATTCGAAAGTGTTGTCCTATTTAAATGTAGGATCTTTAAATGGAAAGAGTCCAGTTTAGGTAGGGTCATATTTCAGACCGGCGTCAGCAGACGAAATCCAAGCTCAAGTTTGGAATAGTTCTTTGCAAGATAAACCCTATGCGTGAAAAGGATTAGTGCAATAGAAAATTCGGAACTGATTATTTACTCACACTTGATACCATGAAGAAGAGGTAAGTTGAGCTCAATAATTTTTTCTATCGACCTATATCTACAGTTATTTATTTGATACTTGTTTAGGTTTGTTCTTTCTATATCTAATTCTATTCACATCTGACCTTATCCTTTAAGTTGTTGATAAAATTTAAGCTTTCAACTTGGCGTCGACTCAAAAGAAATGATTCGTAAATCAGTCTCGATCATTTGTGGAAAAGGATCGTGAAGGAGAGCGAGGGGGGGCATTGGGAGAGAGAAGAAAAATTAAGAAGATTTGGGGAGAAACAGAGAAAAGGAAAAGAAGGTTTGGAGAGAGAAAGAAAGAGAAATAAATGGAATCAGGAGAGAGAGAGAGAGAGAAGATGATTGGAACGAGAAAGAGAAAGAAGACACATTAGAGAGAGAGAGAGAGAGAGAGAGAGGAGATGGGTTGGAGGCAAAGAAAGAAAGAAAGAAAGAAAGAAAGAAAGAAAGAAAGAAAGAAAAATTGCAAAGTGAGAGAAAACAGATTAGAGAAAGACAGTGGATTGGAGAGAGAGAAAGGTTGAATTGGAGAAAGAAAGAGGATGGATTGAAGGGAGAAGATGGATTGGAGAGAGACAAAGAGGAAGGATTCGAGATTGAATGGATTGGAGAGAGAAGGAATAGATTGGAGAGAGAGGGGGTGAGTTAGAGAGAGGGGGTGGGTTAGAGAGGGGGGATGGATCAGATAGAGAGAGGGGATGAATTGGAAAGACCAAGATGATGGATTGGAGAGACAGAGAGAGAGGGGATGGGTTGGGGAGAGAGAGGGGATGCAATGAAGAAAGAGGATGGATTGGAGAGAGAGAGAGAGGATGAATTGGCGAGAGAGAGAGAGAGAGGATGGGTTGGGGAGAGAGAGAGGGTTGATGGAGAGAGGGGAGAGAAGAGGATGGATTGGAGAGAGAGGATGGATTGGAAGAGAGAGGATGGATTGAAGAAAGAGGATGGATTGGAGAGAGAGAGGAATGTTGAAGAGAGGGAATGGATTGAAGAAGGAGGATGGATTGGAGAGAGAGAGGGAATGTATTGAAGAAAGAGGATGGATTGGAGAGAGAGAGGATGGATTGGAGAGAGAGAGGGAATGTATTGAAGAAAGAGGATGGATTGGAGAGAGAGGATGGATTGGAGAGAGAGGATGGGTTGGGGAGAGAGGGGGGATGTATTGAAGAAAGAGGATGGATTGGAGAGAGAGAGGGTGGATAGGAGAGAGAGGGAATGTATTGAAGAAAGAGGATGGATTGGAGAAAGAGAGGATGGATAGGAGAGAGAGGGAATGTATTGAAGAAAGAGGATGGATTGGAGAAAGAGAGGATGGATAGGAGAGAGAGAGGATGGGTTGGAGAGAGAGAGATGATGGGTTGGAGAGAGAGAGATGATGGGTTGGAGAGAGAGAGGATGAATAGGAGAGAGAGAGAAGATGGATAGGAGAGAGAGAGGATGGGTTGGAGAGAGAGAGGGGATGTATTGAAGAAAGAGGATGGATTGGTGAGAGAGAAAGAGAGGATGGATTGGAGAGAAAGAGAGGATGGATTGGAGAGAAAGAGAGGATGGATTGGAGAGATAAAAAGAAAGAGGATGGATTGGAGAGAGAGAAAAAAGAAAAAGATTGGATTCGAGAGAAAGAGTTGATGGATTGGCAGTTAGAGAGAGAAGAAGAAGGATTCATGGGTGAAAGAGAAAGAAATAAGGATTGGAATGAGAGTAAGAACGAGAAAAGGATTGGAGAATCAGAACAGTGAAGCATTGGACAGCGAGGGTGAGAGAAGGAGGATTCAATGGAGAAGGACAAATGTGAAGGATATTAGAGAGAGAGTGAGAGAGTGTGTAGGAGTGAAGAGAGAGAAAGAGAGATTACTAACCGAACGAATTTATAAAACCTCTGGA